TGAAGATAATAAGGACCTATCTAGTAGTGTGTGTGATACCATTGAAGGTGGTGATACAAGTTGAAAGGGTTTGAGTTGCGCTTACTTTTATTCTTAGCCTAAGGAGTCAAAATGGCTTGAGCGAAGAAAGATGCATCCTGAATATTCTCCAGATCATTATATCAAGTTGTACATTTACATCAACTACTTAAAACTCTGTGATGATACAATCATTCCTGAAACCTTTTTTCCAGTACTAATTTTGAAAGGAAAAATAGTAAGAATAATAATTGAGTTAAAGTGATACATGTTTATCCCATAAAATGATTTAAATTACCTTTCAGACTAATGACATGTTAAGAGAAAATAGTCAGAAGCCGACGAACTAAGTGTTGTATTTACGTGGGAGAGGGGATTGCACATTACCCTGAGTTTTGAATGCTGCGGTTGGCCCTAAGGGTTGACCCAGACAAATATCTTGGTCATCAAAACATAAAAAAAGGTCAGAAGTCTTAAACAATGATTGAATATTTAAATAAATATCTATTTGTTTGATAGGAAAACCATCAGAAAGTGGTTTAGTTTATTTTTTGAGGGAATTATGTTCAAAGATAAATCTTATGGAATGGACGTAATGCATTCCTCTGAAACTGATGTTTTACTAGCCCATGAAGTACAAGATTTTGTCATTCTTTGGGGGCTCTGTGAATCCTTTTTTATCTAAACGTATGCAACTATTTTGCCACTCACCAACAGGTTCCTAAATTTTGTCAGCATTAATGCTTCTTTTGCTGCTTCCTGATCCTCTAGGTAACTCCCTATTAGCCATGCCATTCATGGGTGTTACTGCTTTTCTAGAACCAAATGATGCCAGAATTTCCTGGCATCATCACTACATCATATCCAATTACTATGTCAACCAACACTGGGTGCTATGACTAATGACATCTTTTGGATTCTCTTATTCACTTAGAATTGGTAACACTAATTCTTCATTTTTTGTCTGCTGAACTTGAGGAAATCCTTTTTCTTCATCCTCGTTCTTAAGTTCCCTATCTGTTTGAGTATCTTGATAAAGCGTGACCTTGATATAAGATTTCGTGAAACCAGACCAGGCTGATCTTGAACAGTTTATCCTCTAGATTAGCTCCCCAGTTGTTTTTCGCTCAATAACTGCTACATTTGCTATATCACCTTAGTTTATGAAATGTTTTTGAACTTTAAGATTCTTTATCCGAGGGTGTAATTCACAGTTAATGAAGTTGGAATGGACTGTGGGGGATCAGGGTTCAAATCCTAGCAAGGGCAAAAAAAAAGTTAGGTGATTTCTTTCATCCTTTTAAGCCTTGGTGGATAGTGTTACACAACACTTGTACTAGTGGGAGGTAGCAGATAGCAGGTACCTATGGATTAGTCAGGATGTGTAGAAGTTGGAGGGGGCAACCTTCCAACATAAAACCAATGAAGAAATGAACTTTTAAGATTCCTTGGAGTTGAAGAGGAAACTTATTTACTACTAATCAGGAAAAAGGGAAGATTAAGCTTGCTTACTTTATCAGAAAAAGGGAAGATTAAGTTTTACACCACTACTCACGTTTTGGATCTGCCATCACATGTATGATTTAGTTTGTGCTTTCTGTGGCTCGAGTATATTAAAGCTTAGAAATGACAATTGAAGCAAACTTAAATGCTTGTTTCGGGTCATTTGTCATTTTCTGAAACTTGTTCTTAGTGGCAATTGTTAAAATGGAATTAGAATGTTCCTTTGTTATATCCACTCTCTAAAAAGGATTTCTGGATTACATTGCAGAGGTACTGAAAGAACTGTTGCATTCATTTCCAAACCTAGTCATGACAACGGATTCAGCCAACTCTACAGCCTTACATACAGCAGCTGCTCAGGGACACCTTGATGTAGTAAATCTCCTTCTGGAGATCGATTCAAACCTTGCTAAGATAGCTCGTAACAATGGCAAGACTATTCTCCATACAGCTGCAAGAATGGGGCACTTGGAAATAGTTAGAGCTCTTCTAAGCAAGGATCCTGAGATTGGCTTTAGAACAGATACAAAAGGCCAAAGTGCCTTGCACATGGCTGTAAAGGGACAAAATTTTGATATTGTTCTTGAATTAATCAAGCCAAATCCTGCTGTATTGGCTTTGGAAGATAACAAAGGAAACAGAGCACTTCATGTTGCGACTACAAAGGGGCGGCCACAGGTTGGTCTTAGTTTATCATCTATTATTTCTTGTATACTAGCAACTCCCAAAAAGTTGAGTGTTTTAATGTGTTTCAGGCGAATTGGTGATATGTGTTTTATATATTGAGTCTAATGCTTATCTCAAAAAAATAAATTGAAGTCTAATGCTTCTAAATTGGCGCAAAACTGTTCATTTTGTGAACCACATTGAAAAGGTGGGTTGAGTTTACAGGATGAAGTCTCTTGTTATGAATCATGGAGATTTGTTGCATATTTAGGAAACATCGAAGAGGGAAAGGGAAGTTGAGGTGACATATGAACACTATACCCTAAAATCCTAAATAAGATTTTTTTTTCTCAATGAAGACTTGATAAAAATTCTGCAGTCGGCTGCTTATTTGTCACTTCAACTCCCTTTTTCCCTCTCAGGTGCTTTTTGCATCTCAGTCTTCTCTTCCCAGATAAGCCTGATATCTACAAAATAAGCTAATTTAAATAGCTGGTGACTTCGATGCTGCCTGAAAACAAGAAAGCTGACACTAGGTACCACTTACCATAACAGCAAAGGATTTCTTGCTTACGTACTACTTAAGAGACAATTTTTGGGCTTCTGTTTCTTTTATCGAACTTCTAGATCACTGTTGTTTAATTGAACATGATGGTGCAGAAGTAATGATATTACTTATGGCAATGTAGCTCGCAAGTGAATTTGCAAAGGCAAGCTTGTTTTGTGGAGATGCTTACGGCATGTTCGCTTGGATCATCAAAACTGTTTCTGATTACTTTTAAAAGATAGTGTGATTATTCGATGACAAAATAATCAATTCAATTAAAGATAAAGTTTATTTTTGGTTGAAAAGCTATAGTTAATAACTCTTATACTGATTCTTTTACAATAAACAATCAGACTTGTGAGTAGTATAAATCCAAACCAACCAGACCCTTGTGCCTGGAGATTAACTACTCGCATAGAGGAAAAAAAAGAATCAATCTACCTATATATTTTTATGACTTCATGGGTGAATATGATGTTATGATGTTCCAGGTTTAATATAGGAATCCAACAGCATATTCAGTGCACTTTGTGTTTAGCATTTAACTTGAGACTAAACTAACGTAATTGCAGATGGTACAATGTCTAATATCAATTGAGGGCATCGATCTCAATGCCGTCAACAAGGCTGGAGAAACAGCTCTTGATATTGCAGAAAAGTCTGGATCTCCGCAGCTCGTCTCCATGTTGAAGGAGGCAGGAGCTACCCGTTCTAAAGATGATGGGAGGCCTCCAACTGCTGCAAAGCAGCTCAAGCAGACTGTCAGTGACATACGACATGATGTGGAGTCCCAACTCCAACACAGTCGTCAAACTGGCTTCAGAGTGCGGAAAATTGCAAAGAATGTGAAAAAACTCCACATTAGTGGTCTTAACAATGCAATCAACAATGCGACAGTTGTTGCTGTCCTTATTGCTACTGTAGCTTTTGCTGCCATCTTCACTGTACCTGGCCAATATATTGAGGAGAAAAAAGATGGGGTTTCGCTCGGCGAAGCACACATAGCCAGGAAAGCATCTTTCATAATATTTTTCTTGTTTGACAGTATGGCCTTGTTTATTTCCATTGCTGTTGTGGTGGTACAAACTTCTGTGGTCGTGATTGAACAGAAGGCAAAGAAGCAGCTTATGTTTTGGATAAACAAGCTCATGTGGGCAGCTTGCCTCTCCATTTCAATTTCCTTTATTTCACTTACTTATGTGGTGGTTGGAGAGAAGGAAAGAGGGCTTGCCATCTATGCAACTGTCATTGGTAGCACCATAATGCTCACTACTATAGGATCCATGTGCTATTGTGTGGTTCGGCATAGGCTAGAAGAGTCAAGGATGAGGAGTATAAGGAGGGCCGAGACTCATTCACATTCATACTCGATGTCTGTGGCATCAGATACAGAGCTTTACGGTGAAAACTACAAGAGGATGTATGCGGTATAGGAGTAAATAAAAGTCAGATAAATTTCTGCCCGAGGCACCAAACCTGGAACTTTGTAGATAGCACTATAAGTGAATATATGCTGGTTCTAAACCCTCTAGTCTGATGAACTTCTATCAATGGCATCAGATACCAAATTGTTCGAGGAACAAAAGGATCTACGAGTTAGGAACAGATGAGGAGATAGTTCAAATAGACTGCAATAATGTCGAGGTGATGCATATCTGCACAATTCCCCTAAATGGATTTCCTGCAGCCACTGAATTTCTGCACAAATGAGGTGACATATTGCTTAGAAGTTCAAGATGAAGGCTTTAGCAAATCCTTCGGTATTCTTTGCATGAATTTTAATAGTTTGACTGCAAGCTCTCATGGAGTTTACTATCAACCTAGAGTTACTAGTACCAGATTGCTGGTATATGACTGGAAGGTGGGGATGGCTGATATTGAATTGCTTTCGCGTATACATAATAAACTCTGTAGAGTAATGTACTTAAAATTATTATGTATGATATAATTCATCATATCTATTTCTCCTGGTAATGAAGTTACGTCCTTTACCAACTTCTTTTATTTGGTAGAAATTTTCTGTCAGCTGGGGAAAAGCTCCAATGGTGAGCTAGTTCCATAGTTCCCTTTCTTCCTGATCTTAATTAACCTACTTTTGGATACAAGGTGTTGATTGCAGAGAAAATAAGGCACCAGAAGATCATCTTCGTGACTCGGAACTTAACCAAATAGCAAGTTTATAGTACAGAATAGGCAACAGTTTATACTTTTCTCAACTCATTTCTGCTCAATGGCAAAAACAAATTCTCCTCCTGGTGAGGCACAAATAGCCTTCCAGTGATCACTATGCAAAATTGGTCATAAATCTTCAGTCCAAAAGAGTATTAATGTAAACAGTATTTAGGACCTGATTCTCACAAAAAATGGATGAGCAAATCTCACAGCTTTTACCAATATTTTCTGAGCTGGTATTCGAGCTTTTGTACTATTTGTATATGATTATTTACATCGAGATCCTATCAAGTTTCGACAGCTGAGAAAATCCAACTAGTTGGAACCCCGTGGTGCTGCAGTTGTGTTTGTAGATTCTTAGGTTTTCATGTAGCTATCAAGGAACCCGAATGTTTTGATGGTCTTTCTTCTTATTCGAGGTACTCCCAGCATGTTTGAGTGTGGACCTATGATGGGAGCTTCCTTCATTACTCCTTCCACTGTTTTTTGAATTAACGCTAAGTGCATCTGCTGAGAAGCTGTGGCGCACATGTACCTGATATGTTCTTGCCTCAGTTGACTGACTGGCTTTAATAAAGATCATCAAAGTCACCTCCTTGTTTATTGTATCCTCAGACCACCGACTTAGCGGAGTGCCATCAACAGAATCTTCTAATGACTGGCTATCCTCATGTTGAACTAAGATCTCAGCAGCTTGATCAGGTTTGATGATGCCAGCAGCAGGTGTGACCTGAATCAGAAAATCAGTAGATGGAATTGCTTGCAGTAAAGGCCCATTTTCAGTTCCAAAAAGGTACGTGTTAAAGCTAAGAGACTAACAAAGCAAATAGATAAGGCATCAACTAAGAGAAAAAGGAGTTGCTTGGCTGGTCAGATTTAACTAGTTTATGCATATCAGAATGAAGGGACAGCCTATAATCTAAGTTCACCATTTTAGGCTCTTTTAGTAACCTCGGAACTTCCTAACCTACTATGTGGGACTCCAGAAGAGGTAATACTGCTCCACCAAGAGAAAAAGGACCTGTTTTCCTTGTTCCTGTAGGATGAAAAAGTATAAACCCAAACTAAGAGCGTCTAGGAAATGAAGAATCACCTCAAGCCATCTGGGAAAACCAAGGGAACCTCTGGGATGATACTCTGATGCTTGCCTATCCTCTTTGGTGGTAGACTGACCACTACAGGTGATCTGGAAGAGAACTCTGTCTTCTCTGCTTTTGTTGGAAATTTGTAAGCTGAATGTGTCATTATTCTGTAGAACAATTTGGCTGGTGCTAATATTTGTCTCTGGGACATAACGTAGTTCGTTCAGTACAGACCTGATTCTATCATTGTTCTGGAAAACCTTCCCAAACTCTTGTCTCCTTACTGATCTATCAATATGAGCAAGTTCAATATTAAACTTGCACCTTACAGGCTTATGATCACTTTCTGTTACTTCCATGCAACCCTCATACCTATCATATAACAGAGAAGTTTCAAGATGAAGCAAGAGAAGTAAATATGAAGAACACCCCCACCCCTCCTCCCTGCAAAAAGACTTACTGAATAATAGAGGCAACGACAGGACACCCTAAACTGCATTCCACTGTAGGGCTTGTCCGACTGTCTCGATACAATACTCGATCACACCAAGCTGGAATTCGTTTCTTCTCTCCAGAATCATATCCTAAAGTGGAAAATGGAAAGTATGGTCAATGCTTTTGGTTAAGTCCATGCAATATGTAGGACTGTTCACAAAGGACAATCTTAAATTAGTTCTTGAAACAAACCCTTGCCATTCTAAACAAAATGAAAGTAAACTAAGATGTTCAGTCACATTCTATATCATTACAAATATACCTTACCTCCTAATCCTGGTTTCCCCCTTTCAAACTTGTAAGTTGGAGGAAATTTGATGATTGCTTCACGCATTCCTTGGAAAACTTTACCAGTTTTCATTTCTGCTCTTAATTGATCTCTCTCTCGAAGCCAATCAAAGCTTCTTTGAGAAACAAAGTCCCTTGCTTCATCATAAGATATCCCAAAAAGACGATAATTGAAATCACCAAAGAAAATCACCATGTCAGCTTCAGCAAGATCAGGCTTTCCCTCATCAGGATTAATTGCTGCAGCCTGTTGTAGATGAGAAGGTGTCACTTGACAACATTAGAATGTAAAATCACTTGACAAACAACTATAGGAAATGAACATCCATACATTTGTACCACGAAGCACTTGAGCAGCAGATGAGACGCCAACTGCAATAAAAGGAGGATCGATGGCAAGCCAGAAGAGTAAAGCAGCCATAGTAAATACGTGGAGAATACAGCAGTGCAATAGAAAAGCAGGTATCACAGCATACCAGAAGCATTGTTAAGAAGGTTAGAAGACCGAGTGAAGGACATTGTTCGATATATATGGTCAAAATCAGCATTGCGACGCGTGATTGCTTCCAAATGGGCAGCCAAGTGACAGTTCACAAAGCACATTATTCGATCAAATACTCTTAACCTCAGACCAACTCCACCCTGCATTGTAAATGTGTAACATGCCAGAATTATACAAGCCATTTCATCGTTCCTTTACAAAGGCAAGAACCAATAATTTAGTAGAACAAGCAGCTGACAGCTCTATGTCTTGAGCATCTGTGGTGTGAATCCTAATGTAAACAAACAAACATTTGAAAATAATACAAGTTAAACATCAGAAAGAAAGCTACCTTGTTACCAATTGCACGTCCTAAACCACATGCAACTGCTCCAACGTCAAGGTCTCCAACATGATTTCTGAGACTTTTCCTCACCCTGATTATAGGTCATCAATGAAGAAAATGAGAAATAAGTAGGAATTGGAGCTCAAGGTAGAACTATATCACTCAAATTCAGCTAGAAATTTGAAGCTTTATGAAGAATGTAGTTCTTAGGAGGTATAGTTTGGTGAATTCAGCTTACAAAGAGAAAACAGATCACTAAAAGTAACCTCCGCACGCTCTTACCAGATAGCAATAAGCAATGCAGCTAGTTGCCTTGATCCTACACGTTCGAAAGTTGATCCTTCATCCAATGCCTTACCTATGGCATCCTGCCACCATTGCCCCATAGCACTTCCTTCCAGTCCTACCTACAGTTGACATGAGTGATAATGCTGTGTACATGACTCAAGACTAGGGAAGTATAAGGTCACACTATCCACATGTGCGCCAAATTATGCATCTATAGTAGAGCATCTTAGTGCTAACTTTTGTCTGCCCTCCAATCTCTTGGCCATGTTTCAGGGATTAGCTGAGCAAGTAGAGACACAGGGTCAAGGAGACAGATCAATGAAATAGGGCAGAACTACTTGAAGATTGCAACATGTTATCATTCTCTTATGACAAAACCTGTTAACTCTTTCAGCTACTGGGATTCTTGACTTCTTTTGTTCTAAATAACAAATTGATCAAGTTTCCAATACCTCTATTTCAATTTATATGTCTTACTACAGTTTACACCTTAAGCTTAAGACAACAAGATTCAAAAGTCTCCCTAATTTTCTTTAACTTCATGCTAGTCAAACTAAGACACATAAAAATAGAAATGGATGGAGTATTTTTTTTTCCTGGATCCATGTTCAAACAACACAACTACCAGTTGCATATGGTTTTAAAATCTCTTATACAGCTGGACTGCCTATAACATATAGAAGGTGAAATAGCTTACACTTTCTTTTGCAGCAGACATTGCAAGAAAACCTGCTCCCATTTCTACTTCTTGCAACCCAACCACTACTATTCCAACATCTGAAACTGTGGAACCAAGCCAAGCTGCTAGTGCTTCCTGTGAAACTCTTCCCTGACCGACATTCCAGGTGCCAACTAAAATCCTGAAATCTTCTTTTCTAGTGTACAAATGTTCTTTCTCAGCTAACTCTGGCCGTATTATGTTATCAATAGGTCCTGGAGAGGCAAGACTCCATCCACGTATACCACCGTGAGTAGCCAAGCTGAAAAGATAGTTATCCCCAACTACCATTTTTACTACAGGCCCATTGTGAGCAACCCAGCCAACTAGCAAGTTTCCTTCAAGATCCAGCATCTGTACCATCCCACTTATGTAGCCAACCCATATCCGAGAACCATGAGTACATAAGCTTAAAACAGCACAAGGATGGTGATGAAAATCTTGCAAACGGTTGCCATTTCCATCCCAATGCACAAGTAAACCATTTGAACACCCACTCCAAATCATTCCATCGGCTGCAAGCACAAGGGCTTCTGTTTTTTTACTATCTTCTGCAAATGCTCCTGCCCCCTTTGAAGCAACCCGACGGACAGCTTCTGCAGCTCCCATTATAGCATTACGTGACCTCTGCAAAAAGCTACTTCCTTGTGACTTTTCCTTTTTAGGTTTGGTTGCAACCTTGGCATTCATCTCATCCTCCGTTGCTTGGTCTTGCACTGATGACATGTCACCCCGGTTTTCAATTTGACCTTCTGCATTGTAAACTTTAAGGAGTTCCCTTGTCCGTGCATCCCTGCAGTTTCCCAACTACCAGAGTAATTAGGAGTGACAATTTATTATGCACACATAATCATTCAGATGGAAAAATATAGAGGAACCTACCATAATGAGAAGGATGCTGATCCAGCTGCCCACACTTTTGCTCTTACATGATCAGATAACAAACACTTCACATCAGAAGATGAGATGTTACAAACACCATTAACTGTAACTTGGCTCTTAAGGTCAACAATTGACCGTTCCACAAGTAAAGCAGCCATGTGTCTTTCTTCAGGTGATAAAGAGAGAGATTTATCAATAGATTCCCATAGCCAAACCCTAATGTTACCACCCTCGGACCCTGACCATATATCACCTGGATATGCAAGTAAACTGTCATGATCCTTGTCCATCGAAAAATTCGAAGCAACACATTTCTAGCTAACAACTGAGGTTCTCAGCCACCCGTAAGACAAAATAACATATATGAATTAATGACCTTGAGGAAACTAAGGAATATAAGCTCAGGTTATAACCTGGAAAATTGAACTTCAAAATAAGCATTCCACAAGTGTTCTTGATAATTATTGCAAGACTTGCAAAAACACTTACAGCTATAGTGAAACTATGGAGCTGAATGACAAAGAGACCTTGTGTGCAATCAGCAAAAAGGGAAAATCGAAGGTTAATTATCGGTCCAGATAACTGGCTGGTTGGTTGTCTCTGACATATCGAGAAGCACACTTGCCCTAGCATCTCTTCTACTTTTTCTGTCAAAGTTATTTGAATGCCTAAGTGAAACTTTCCATCATTTTCAGCATCTCACGCACAAATAGTTAGGATCCAAAATCCTCATCTTAATCAACATTGTTACCACAACGGAAATAAAATATCCTTACTCTTACAAGAAAATAAACTCATTTTCCTTCTCCTGCGCCTAATTTCTAAGGGTTGCTAACTAGAAACTCCAAATGATACATCCCAACTGTAGCTACCAAAACCAAGAGGAGCTTACATGTGCACAAACAATAATTTCAATAGGCTGATTAATCATAAACAATGATGGGGAATCATAATTTTCTTTTCATAAATGAATTACAAATGTGACCAAGGATGAGTTGATATATTACCATAAGAAGACATGACCATGGAAAGAACAGAACCACGATGAGCCTGCCAGGAGAGGCCTTCCTTGAAAGTAGATTCACTTGATTGGTCCATCTTCCAAGACCTAATTTTGCCATCTTTGTGTCCACTCCAGATCAACCTACTCCCACTATCAACCATCAAGCATAATGTGGGTGATGTACTTGTTGACTCGTGAAATGGCGCAGCATCCTCATCTCCTCTCCTTGCCCTTTCACCAATTCCCATTCCTGACTTATACTGATCTGAAAAATTCCATACTCTTATACCACATTCAAGTCCAGCCCATAATTGTGTCTCTGTACAGGCAATGGTCCTCAAAAATTTTCCAACCTGTATAATTGGCGAAAAGAAAGAAAACATTTTTGAACACACAAACATAAAATTAAGAATGTTAAATAATAAACACAAACACCCTTTCTGTTTCTGATTCATTTCTCAATCAATGACATCAAAGTTGAGAAAGTTTTGCTGAACAGTACGTAGTTATTAAGAAACAAATGAATCCTAGAATACGTCACTACTCTTCTCTTCCACATCCTATGTCATTTCCACAGAAACAAGTAAAGGGATCTACTAAGACTTTTAAATGTATTACATTGTTGTTTTAAAGTAGACACAATTAGAACTTGCGTCATTTTAGATTATAGTTTTTGAATATTTAAACTAACAATAAAACTTTTAACTTATGTTCCATTTAGTTCTAAATATCAAACAAATTCATAAACCAAAAGAAAAGATAGAACTCGATTAGAAGCAACTTTTAAAACTACATTAGCATTTTGGCACCTAGCATTGGAAGATTGGCTCGAGGCATTTTCTTTTCCCCCGAAAAAGTAAGGACACCTTATGTTCTTAAACTCATAATTTACCATCTTTCGACTAATCTAGCTATCTTCCTCCCCCCATATTGGGGACGATCAAGGAGTAGTACATGAATATTCACCCATTGTCCATATTCTATACCCTTTGGCCGGATCATAGGTCCTGATTCATACAAATTGTCCGTGTTATTCAAGCTTAGAATTTATATCATTTGACACCAACTAATTTGGGATTGATTGATATATATAATGTATTAACTACAATTACTCACTTGAGTTTCCCTAAGGGGATGTGGCCTGAGCTCATGACAAGACGGACGTGATGGATGTACAGAGGCACGAGTTGGTACTTTAAAGATCCCAACTCCACCACCACCTCCAACAAACTCCGGCAACGGCCGCTGTTGATCAATACCCTCATCCTCCGCGACAGCTGGCCCAAAATTACCTGCATCAAACACTTGCCCTGCACCTGCAGCTGTAGTAGTAATACTAGCATTACTATAAGTAGAATAAGGATAAAAATCTTCGTCATCAGAAGAATCCTCATCGTTATAGATTAACCCATGATGATCATTATTATTATTGTTATCTATGAAATTAGTTGGAATATCAAAGCTGTGATGACGAAACTGATGGTAACGTTTATGGTGAGTTCCTGTATTGGTCCTAAGCTGATGGCTGTATGAATGTACTTTTTTACGCGGTGTAATTGGCGCATTGCTAAGGCCTTCCAATGCTTTTTTCTCATCCTCTTCAAATTTTTCGTCGTCCATGATCAGATGGAATTAGTACTATTATATATAAGAATCAAGATTTGATTTTTTTTTTTTTAACAATTATAGAAGAGATAACACAATAGGGAAAGGATCCAAAAATGGGGATATGACAGAAATGTGTGAAGAAGAAGGGAGAGCATGTGGGTGGGGGGGGGGGGGAGGGGGTATAGTGAACATGCATGAGAAGAAAAGAGGAGAGAGCGGAAGGTGGTTTTGAGGACAAGGAATTGTACGGACATGAAACTTATTTTCATTTTATTTTTCTTTTTATCTATTAAGTATGTCACCGTTGTGTTAACTAACATTTATGTTTTCTAACTTTGGATGAATAAAAGTAGGTACTTAAATTTGTATAAAATTAAATAAATAAATGTATTTGTCCTACATGACAATTTTGTGACCGAAAGGGACATCCTACTTGTATTATGTCACGAAGGATGCATGTGTCTACTTTTTAATTTTATACAAGTTTAAATGTCTATTTGTACACACTCAAAATTAAATGGCGTATATGTAAATTCAAATTAAGTTAAATAGCATATTTATGTATTATGTCAATTTATATATAATAGTAGAAGCTAAATTAAAAAATGATGTGTTTGGTGAGAAGAGAAAAATGTTTTTGATAAAAGTTATGTAGATTTCTTGCATATTTTTTTTATTTTTGATATGTAAATACTGTTATTTGCGCTAAGTTTGTATTTAATTAATATATGAGTAGTAAATATTATTAAAGAAATAATAATAGTAAAATAAGATGAAAGATGAAAAATCAAGTATACTGAATACACAATGGATATTTAAGGAAATAATTCCCCTCAAATATCAGAGATGATGAAATACATCTTCTCAGTATAGAACAATTTACTTCAATAGAGTAGAGGTTTCTCAAATTTCATTGAACTTCAAACTTATTCAACAGCGACAAATTACACTTGAGTTTTTTAGAAAATTCATACTTGATATCTTAGGAAGAATCGTGTATTTATAGCCAACAAAACTTCTTCAGAAAAAAAGCAAATGTATAAAAAAAATACACTAATTTAGAAGCAGTGGGCATTTGTGGTTCGCATATGGTAAGTGCGGTCTGCACATGAATAGCACTTCAAAATCAGAATGTTAAAAACTTCATTGGTTGGGTTATGTGGTTCATGTGTGGTCCGCACATATCCGAGTGTGGTTTTCACTTCTACCACACACTCAAATCAATGCACCAAAAGATGTGTCTCTTTAGTGTGTGATCCGCACTTCACCATATTGCGTTACACATGATGGAACATTTTGAGTTGGATTTTTTTGATTAAATAATTAAGGTAAAATTAATTTTGTCCAAAATGATTAGCTCTCAATCAATTATTCAAAGTCGAAGACGAAGCGAGCAACGACGGTGACAATTAAGCTTGTCTTCTTCTTAACCCTTTAACAACATTAAAACGTTTTCTTATATTTAAGCATGTGTGCCATGTACCGAGCTTATACCCTACGCATGGGCGACACTCAAAAATCATTACTGGTCCCAAGCAAATTCTTGACCTGGCTTACTACTGATCGAAAGGCTAAACACTTATGCAAAAACTTTAAAAGTGATAAATATTCACAGCTCTGAACATGCTATATGAAAAGTTTAAAATATAAGTATTAATCATAATAATAATGTTTAAATTATCTAAATATCAAGACTAAACCGACTCACTAACTTGTCTATGAAGCCTCTACTGAACTAAGATAAGTGATGGAACAAGACTCGCGACTACCTAAATAATAAATTAGAATGTCTACTAAATAATGAAATACATAACTGAACTGGAGCCCTCTAAAAGCAAGGGTGTCTCATAAAAATCTGATGGAGAGGATCTCAACGAAGCAAATGATGTCGATCTTAAGTACATGTATCTGCATCATTAAAAGATGCAGCACTGAATGACGTCAGTACAGTTATCGAAAGTCTTCCATAATGCCTAACTACGACTTGTAGTTGAATCTACTACTCGTGGAATCCAGGACGAAGTTGGAGTGTCATAAGTTGTCACGCCCCGAGCCTACACCCTAGATGTGGCCGCACTCGAAGACCATTGCTGGCCCCCAAGCGAACCCTTGGCCTGGCTTACTTAACTCAACATAATAACTCCATGCAATGAAAGATCATAAAACAACCCAACTGATAAAATCTAGCCAAAAAGGCAACTCAAGTCTCAAAATAGAATATTATATAAATACATATATGAGAGACTCAATACTAACTGACTGACTGTCTATGAAACCTCTATAACACTGAGATGGATGTTGGGACAGACCCCGCAACATCCTAATAAAACAAAACTAAGAAAACAAAATAACCGAGTCCTCCAGAATGCAAAGAGGCTTACTACTGACTCAGGAGTGCTCAGCTGGATCAACGACGTGCTGGATGCTGATCCTGGGTACCTGTGTCTACATCATAATAAGATGCAGGCCAACTGGCATTAGTACATTGAATGTACGAGTATGCGAGTTGGAAAGCTAAACCACAACTTAAGCTTGAAAGGAATACAACAGAACACTTACCTTGGCTCTGTTCAACTCATGAATAACTGAACTCAAATGTAAAGCAATAAGACATATACAATACATATATAAAGCTTGTAAAACAGTGTAAACAACTTAGTTTGTTAATGATTAAAGCAATAACAAACTCAACTTTACTTATATAAAAGTAATATAACTTTAGTGGGAGATTCTTTAACCGACACCCACCACTATGAGCCCAAGTGATGATACAACGTTTTACCTCACGTTGCCCAAGGACCATCCTATACCTTGCCGTGATATAGGACCTTACTTTAACTTAGTGGATCCACTAGCTTAACTTACGTGATCATCTAAAAAGAATGACCCGTTAAGTCCCATGTTGGCTACATGGTTCCTATGGAGAGTTGAGTTAATATGAACTCGCGTCCTCCCAAAAATACTTTGGCTCATAAGTGTTTTAAACACATCTTTCTTTAGTTTGAGATAATTGCTCAAAGCTTAGCCCAAAGGCTCTCTTGGAAAACATAGTTCCTTTCTTACTCAAATGTAAAACATTTATAAACTTCTTTGGGAATACTTAGTTCCCTAATAACTTTTGAGAAATGAACTCAACTCTATACTCTTGGCTTAACTTGAAACTCTATACTCTTTACTTAACTTGAAACTTGAGCCTTAAAATGAAGTTAAAACGTTTAATAAAGACTCTTGAAAAAAAACTTTAAAGACTTGCTTTGACTTGCTTCTTAACTTCTAGACTTGACTTCTAACTTCACTTGACTTTGATCCTAACTTTCCTCGAATTGGATTATGAATTCAAGGGTAATGATCTCATGTTTATGGATGAGTTCTTGATGTTTAGATGTACCTTAGCGTGTTGAAAACAACTATAAAATATATGTACATTACCAAGGAACATGCATGAAAAATGTGGGGAAGGAATGGGGAGAATTGGCGTCCTTGGCACTCTGAGAGGCGCGGGACGCCAGCCCTCAAACTTCAGAGGGCCTGGTGGGGCGCTCTGCATGGCGCCCCCCCCCCCCCCCCCCCAAGGGTGGAAGTTCAGAGACTCTTTTGGGGCGCGCTGGCTGGCACGACGCCCTAGCCTTTTTTCCCAAAAATCTGACTTTTCTCTTTTGTTTTCCCAACTCTAAACCTTCTTAACTTCAAAGGTTCCAGCCCCAAACACTTAGAATCATAAAACCCCTTAATATACAATAGATTCAACTAGAAATCACAACCGGAAACATGCACCAAACCAACAAGAAACTTCAACAACGCAACCACAACTTCAACAAACACAACCACAAACTTCAACAAACACAACCAATCTTTCCTCGGAATTAAAACGAGTTTGGCGTGTGGGGGAAAGAACCAACCCAACACTATGATCTCACATACCTTAATAGGGATCACCCCCGACGAAATCCACGACGATCTTGACGACCCTTGCTTGTTCTTCTCTTTCTCTATTCTCTCAAAAGCCCTAACTCTCACTTTAAAAAGGAAAAACTGATTTAAAATCAGTCTAAAACCTTAATATAACCAAAACAAATGGTTAGGGAAAAGACCAAAATACCCTTACAAATTCGGACTAAACTGCCCTGTGCCAACAACCCAACTTCCAAAGGGCATAACTCACTCATACGAACTCGGAATCGAGCAAACTCGAGGGCCTTGGAAAGATCATTCCAAGGGATTTCCAAACATAAATGGAAATACACCTAACTCATCCTGATATAGGAGTTATGACTGTTCAAAGTTGACCAAAAACTCATTTTTTTCCATACTTACCAAATTTCCAGATTTTGAATTCTTTCCAAAAATGACTATTTCAAATTTCCAGCTTCTTCATAGTCAATTCAACTTACACAATGTTACATAAGTTCATTCTATGATCCTAAATTATGACCCATAGTTTAAATTACAAACCGTGGTTGAATCTGTGAAAATCAGACCCAAAAACAAGTTTTAGAACTTCATTCTACGGGTCAAATTTATGGCCCATAAATGGATTTACGACTTGTAATTGGGTCTGTACGAATCATACAAAAAAAATTGCTTTCAAAAGTTTGATTCCATGAGCTTCATTTACGGTTCGTACTTCAATATTCAACTCGCTAGTATATAGTCAGTGTATACTTTCTATGACGTTTGAGATTTTTTTTATGTAAAAAAAACATGAATATATTTGTTATAAATTAATTACTTTATTGCTTATATATATATAAAACTGTTAGAATCCTAGGAATATTCTATAGCATATGTGTAAATATAGTAGGTAGCTTGATTTACTGCTAGATTTACTCTAGCTTGATTTGATATTGATTTGTATTGATTAGGCATTGATTTTCTTTCCTTTTTTATGACATGTATACTTAGCTATTTAAACTCCCAATAGCTTGTGGAAATAATCAAGTTGATATCTCTCTCAAACTTTTGTCTTCTCACATTATATTAGAGCTTTCTTTAGTGAGAAAATAAGAATAATA